CTGCTTTGCGTTGCGAATCACCATTATAAAGTTTAAACGCATCACTACGAAGCCAACATCGACGTGCCTCATTCAGATCCTGGTCTTTTCATGCTTTAGTTAGTCCTTACCTGCCTGGTCAACGACAAAGAATCTTCTGAGGGTTGTATACATAATGCCACCATGGGGGTACACAGTTCAAAAAGTTCCCTGGAAGCTCAGTTCAGCTGCAGGCGCGAGAAATTCCTTGCAAGGTGAACAACATCGCATGTTCTCGATCTGTTAAGGTTTACTGTCCATCTCAAATTCGCCATCATCAAAATGCATTCACACATATGGATACGCGTAATAAGTTTCATACGGGCCACGTGCCCACAGGAGTCACAACGCGAATCTTCCCTCCCTCTCCTCTCCTCCTTTTCAAGGTTATGGTTGTCGCTCAGATAACCAATGATTTTATTGCCAGAATTGCGACTGGCAAGTACATTGGAGCAAAAACGCTCCGTCTCGTTAACATTAAGAAATGCTAAGCTTTGAAATTATGTTGTTCGGTGAGTGTTAAGAGGGCGGGTTCCGCATCTGTATGGAGTTTTGAATTGGGATAGTCATGTGGAAAGAGAACATTCAATGCGATTCACAGCGATGCCCTTTTAAGACTTTAAGCATTTGTGTCTCTGAGCTAGACGCATGTGAACTTGTGCGGATCATTTCGCGCAGCTTATTTGAAGGATATGTATGACAAAACCCAGACTCAGCTAGAACATCATCCAGATGTGCATGACGTCATAAAAACATCACGCGAATACCGCCTACTCAATGGCTCAAGGTGTGCAGAAGAATATGCTCATCGAATCATCCATGTCTGATGTAGGTCAGCACGATTGGGGAATCAATGAAAATTGGTGGGCCTACGACCAGTTTAGTGTGTTGAATGCAAGTTTCGAACGAGTATCACGTATGGGCTACATCATACAGGATCATACAGCGGTGCTGGTTATGACAGGAATGAGGCTGAGTATCGAATGACTTAGAATTGCGCCGTAACCGAGCGTGTGAATGCAAGTAAAATATATAAAATCCCGGGAACCACCAAAAAAGGCCAAAGCAAGCGCACACAATGACTTTCGGTTAAATAAATACGCACCAGTTAACCCCCACTTTTCGGCAGGATTAAGTACTTCAAGTGAGTCAGTCAGTCCGCTAAGTGGCAATTACGACACGCCCAGTCTAACAGCGACTCTGACATCATACACGCGTTCTGTGGCGTAATCAAGCGATGCCGTATTGAAGGGGAATGTTTTTAAAATAGTAAAGTTTGGTTGCTTAGAGCAGTTTTTCACTTAGCAACACACCAGTAGCTGGAAAGTGACCAAATTTCATCATATAGGACGCTAGTCTCAATATCTTCAAATATGGAGCATTCCCTTTAAGTATGGATCGCGTCATTCATATGAAAACAGGCAGAATGCGTGAAAAACCTAGCGAAACGCAGATGAGAGAGCTCTTCTCGACTCCCAAGAGTATTGCATGACGAAACTATCGTGCAACTGGTCTACCCAGAGTGCCTCGCCTAGTGTTCACCAAAAATATTTCTCTGCAGAAAAGTTGCCACGTGTAACTCCTTGCCTTTACACGTAAGATGCTCCACGGCCTTTGAGTGTATTATTCCAGTGTGTTATTCCACCGCACTCTTATTGGCTTAAGGGTGCGGTGGAACGGCTTCCCTTGTGAGAGCGAGTCCCTGGTGCGCCCCCGACAGCCGGCTTATCGCCTTCGTCCTCTCCCGCTCAGCCAGGAGCGCCCCTTGGCCTCGTAGGCGCGCCTGTCAGCCTCTTGACGCTTCTTCGTCTCTGCCTCACGCCCACAGGCACTGGCGGCGTCGGTGTCTGCGACGAGGAGACCGGTGGAGTCTCAGACGAAGGAACGCCCGACAGCGCGCGAGGACTGCAGCTGCGTCGAACCGTCGTCAACCCGTCGCCCGATGACTATCTAGCTGGTGCCGGGGAGGCCGACAGAGCGGTGTCCATTGATCGCTCGGCCGGTGGGGAGCCAGCGTGGAGCGCCGGCTGGGAGTCCAGCGTTTGGACCGCTGAAACAACTGACAGGTCAAACGGCTTCAAAAGTACCACGTACTGAATTGCCGTCATTTGCTCGGTCACGTTAGTATTTGCAACGAGATTTTCACTAATGACGAATGCTGTGCTTTCGGGTGAGTTCCGTTGTGAATCCCACAAGCTGCACGAAAAGAGACGTTTTTAGAGGTTCCAATCAACATAATCCCTTTTTTCGCGTATGGTGGGCATGTGCAGCCGTACGTCGTATGTGGGGCGTAGTCTTTGCCGCAGTTGACAGATGCAAACTTTGCTCATGTGCCCGAATGACGCACATTTATCATACGTCGCGCGGTTACGACATTGGACTTTGGTGTGGCCAAATCACTGGCGCTGGTAGCACCGCATCGGGTTATGCACAAAAGGGCGGACCTTCACGCAAGCGTATCTCATACGTAGCTCGACCGGCAAATTAATACAACTGAACGTGAGAACGAGGTTGCTGGCGGGCAACAGGTCTCATCCTCTTCTGACAAGAATCGCACGAGCGACAGGCACGCCAAACTCCGACATTTCCTCGACTATCTCGCTCTTGTTGACGTCACGAAGATCACAACAGCTGATCACGCCCTTGGATGCATTTTTGGTGTTGTGTGGTGTTATATTGTCACGGTCTCGGTCTCTCACGGTCTCGGTCTCTCGGCCGGCCTGATATTGTCACGGTCTCGGTCTCTCGGTCGGTCTGATATTGTCACGGTCTCGGTCTCTCACGGTCTCGGTTTCTCGGTCGGTCTGATATTGTCACGGTCTCGGTCTCTCACGGTCTCGGTCTCTCGGTCGGTCTGATATTGTCACGGTCTCGGTCTCTCGGTCGGTCTGATATTGTCACGGTCTCGGTCTCTCACGGTCTCGGTCTCTCGGTCGGTCTGATATTGTCACGGTCTCGGTCTCTCACGGTCTCGGTCTCTCGGTCGGTCTGATATTGTCACGGTCTCGGTCTCTCGGTCGGTCTGATATTGTCACGGTCTCGGTCTCTCACGGTCTCGGTCTGATATTGTCACGGTCTTTTCATGCTTGCCAGTTCCATCCCGAACATTACACGCAAATTCCTTTGCTGTCATAGCCCGGCTCGTCGACAGTCCCCTAGCGAGCTCAACCTATATTTTTCCATCCCGGAGTTTGTCGTATCGGATAATTTTCCAAAACCTGACGCAGCCGCTTCTTCTCTGAAACGGTGACAGGGAAGCCAGCGTAATACCATCACTTCCGAAGATGAGGATCCGTGGACCGAGGAGAGCAGTCTTCGTTGCACCTTAGGGTTATCGAGGTCCGCCTCTCTTTCGGGGATGGGTGTATTTAGAGTGGAAAGATGTCATGCAAGTTTTATTTCAGCACTGGAGCTCCCCATCCACCGCAGAGCCCAATTCGAGGGCAACCCAACACTCCCCCGGGTGGTGGTCACCACCAGGGCTACCCCGGTGCTATACGGGGCGGACGACGCCTCCCTTTGGGCAAAGTGCAACCGGGGAGACCTCTACTCGTTCGGAGCGTGGTTCAGCACCGCCGCCCCTTCACTCTTTAAGTATCCGCGCACAGCCGGGCGCCCGAGCGGAAACCGGTGACGAACACCCACCGCGCCGCGCTGGAGGCGGGCCGCCGGACCCACATGGAGCCCGAAGGGACACACGCGCCCTGAATATCCTGGCCAGCGTGGAGTGTCGGAACGTGCTGTGACTGACCCGCACGACAATCCCCTAAGCCAACAGGATATGATCAACCCGGGAACGCAGGCGAGGGGGCACGGGGACCCCGATAAAACGGGGATGAGGAGAGGCGAGAGGGATGGATGTCGGAAGAGGAGGGGGTGATGGGAAGGGAACAAGCACGACAGGGAACAGCTTACGTACAGGCAGCTTTGTTATGCCCTGATATGAATAGCTTGCGCTGTCCACTCGTTACCAAAGCTGAAACCCGAGGTGCTCTACTCCCCTACACCACCGAAGCCGATGCCCTGCCCTTGCACCTTGCCGATCTCGACCAGACGCTACAGTGGGGCGGGAAGATAGTTGAAGATTACCTCGCAGAATTCATGCACGTCCTCTTGCAGAACAGCGTTGATTTCATCGTGCTTCTTCAGTAGATGACGTGAGGAAGTCGGGCAGCAGCTGCCGCTTCCCTGGCACCGCTGTGGCGTTGTACCGTAACAAGTGCAGGAGCATGTTCTGGCATTTGATCGATGCGTCCACGATGTTCTTCACGTTGATCAGCGAGATTAGAGGTTGTGGACCTTGAAATAATAAATCCGTTGAAAAATGGACCAACTTTCATGACAATGAACAAAAGAAAAGCAGTTCACCGAGAGACATGTGTCTTCTTTATATATTTTCGTTAAACGTTTCAGATACGTCGTCTATCCATTCTGAAAAGCAACATCCGCTGTTCAGTTCATGTTGGCAACTGACGCACTTAAGATCAGAACATAAAACACGAGTGCACAAACAGCAACGGACTTCTCATTGGATAACACTTGCGGCCGTTTCAGCCTGGCAAAATCAGAACTCCATAGCCACGAAAAAAGTATCATTCGTATCACACTGTGATATGCATATTCGACGTAGCAAATTACAATACGGGATGCCACTGGCGAAATCTCCGCGCCGTTCTCTGTGTCCGGTTCCTCGTCTGCATGATTTTTTTTCCCCGTTGATCCAAGGAGGTAGTTCAAGTCTGATTCTGTTGTATGTCGAGTAGTGGTGTATGGCCATCACTGAACTAAATAATGCTTCCAGCACATTAAGCTCTCCTGTGTCGCATGCAGATGCAATAACTTGTGTTTTACGTGAGCATTTGGCGCATGACACGAGTAATGTGGTGAAAAACCTTCACGCCATGTGTCTGACGCGCCCAATCCATGCCATCTGCATGACCACGCATTTTGAGCGACCACTGAGTTGTCCTGATACGACGAAGTCGAGACGAGGAGTATTCACATGTATTTTCCCGTGGTGCACCATGGAGATAGTTTACACAGTGATCAAGGTAAAAAATTTGATTAGGAACGTTGTAGTCATGCAGGCTACATATTACACAGATGGAACAGCCGTTGATGCAGATAGGCACATGTAACGTGGCGAGTTCAGGTACATACACATAGACGAGCGTTGTTTGTTTCAACCTCTAACGCAATTCAGTTAATTTCTTAATTTCTGTATCCATAATGAACACAACGAATAACGTATAAGTTGATCACAACAGTTCATGAAGAAATGGAAAGGTCCCGCGGGCGTGATATCTTCGGGGCTTGCCAGCACCATCCACGACGACATAGGTATTCAGATCAACGTGCGTATCAAGATTGGGAAAAACAGTCACTCCGTCAACGCCCAATGAAGTGACGGAGCCCTTAGACTGCGAAACGGTGCAAGCTGGTGGGTACCAGAGTTCCTGCACAAACTCTACACCACCATTGCATCAGGAACGGCACTTGAAATCCTGAAAGGGAACGGCTGCACCGGCAAGCATTGTATCTCAGATGTGGGAACCAGGCAAAGCCGTCCCAAAGAGGCCAATTTTGATCATCGCCGGCAATGGCCGGTTTCGCGTAACAAAAATTGCAAGCTGTGCTTAGAATTCGTCATGATGCAAAGTTATTTGACCAACTGCACGGGACATAGACAAGCATGAATGCAGTTGCACATGGCAACACCGCAAAATGCGTAGCTCTCAACACAACTAAACGGGGTAACAATTGCGGTGCTGTTATATATACAGCTGTGAAGCTTGGACACGACCGAGAGCATGGAGGCAATAATACACCTCTATCTTTGCCAAACTGTCACGACTGAAATAACATTACAACGTACCCGTCTCTCTCCCTAGAGTTTACGTGTTCGGAGCAGTGCTTTCTGAGTGATGAAGGTGCTCAAAGCAAACTCTTGGCAAGAACAAACTATAAAAAGCAAATAATTCAGGGGAAAGGTGCCGCAGTTTCCGCGCATTTCAACCCAAAACACTTTTCGGTGCGCCTTGTCCCTATACATGTAAGAGCCTGACTAGAATTGAGAGATGCAGTGGGCTACGGATCGCTCCAACTGACGGCACCATGCACGATATTTGATTTGAATAAGAGATCGATGCTTCAAAGACCATGTTTTTTCGTAAAAAGTTCATGTAAAAACCATGCACACAGCTTTCCATGCGAAACATATTGACAATAATTATCCACCTAGCATCTAAATCAGACACGTTTTTCGTCCATCATTACCCACCCAGCATCCAACTAGTCACATTCTCCGGCCACCTTCCCCAGAGTTGACGTCAAGTCAACACTCACCACTTCCGACGGCCGGATCCCTTCTGATCGCATACATGATTGGCCACTTGCGTACTATCACTCACTTGACGCTACTTAACTGAACCACTGTCTTGCGTCACACTGCAGCCTGGCTGACCGGAACACCGTCCCGCTGCAGCCTGGATGACCGGAACACCGTCCTGCTGCAGCCTGGATGACCTGAACACCGTTACGTTGTAGCCTGGATGACGGGAACACCGCCCTGCTGCAGCCTGGCTGACCGGAACACCACACCTCCATGGCATCAGCCGACCTGGTGACGTGACCAGCCTGTCCGCGCTTCCCCGACAGCCGCTACACGAGCACGGCGTCGCCCTTGACGTTGGTGTAAACGTTGCGGATCTCGAGCAGGTCCGATTTGAGACGTAGTTTAGCGATCTCCCGGTAGATGTCCTCGCGGTGCCGCGGGTCACCGATGCCCATGTTCTGCAGCTGGGGGCGAGTTAGGCGCACCAGCGCCACGCCCGTGATGTCGTGCTGCCGAGGGCCCGGGCTGGTCAGGCACCACACAAGGCTACCAGCGGCCGGCCCGGAGCAGCGGTGAGCGGAAGCGACGGCCGTCTGGTCTACTCAGACTCGAGTTCATCTAGCGCGCGCAGCCCGCTGCATAGCCAAGATATTAATGAGAGAGAAATACAAAAGGAGATACTTTTGGGACATGACGATATCACAAAAGTGCCTCCGCTGCATTGACGGTCGATTCTGGGAAAATTTGGGTGAGATGGGGGTATCGAGGTCGTTCCCTTTGGTGAATGCCTGCGGTCAAACTCTGATGTGGGAGGTGCACCATGATGCATAACACTGGGCGAAATGGATGAAAGGGCAATATGCGTAGGAGGTAAAGAACTTCATGGGTCCAGTTTTGAAAAAAAACAAATGCTTGAATCACCTACTGGTAAAAATGCTATGGTAACTGACATAAAAGCAAAGAGACATAGCACCTATGAACGCACAACTTTCTGCCTTATCACAACAGGATCATTAAACGACGATCGAGCTGCAGAACTAAAATGAGGAATAAATGGGGATGAGTGACTCCACTGGGGTACCAAATGTTCAGGGGTGTAATTTCCATTTCAATTCGGGTAGAGGATTGCAGTCCCGTCCATTCCATGTCATATCCATCCCGTCCATACCCTCTCACACACACAAGGCTACAGTTCTCACCCTCCCAACTTTGAAAAAGAAGTTGGCCAAAATCGAGGCGAACCTCGTTTTTTGGCCATTTTGTAAATGGCTTTCATCATATGCCACTGTTCAACCCCCTTCCCGACTTATTTAGCAATATACACCCTTGCAAACGCCTGAGGTATACTTTTCCCACCCACTTACCATGACCCCATACTGACAACACAACTACTGATACACCACAAAAACAAGTGAAAAGTCTCTATTTTTTTTGACAAGAATGCTGTGTCACCAAGTTTCCTAAGCTCCACAACTGTAAGCAGGCATTGGAGGCAGATAGCACATACTTACCTGTACAAAGTGTTCTGAGTAGCTGGTGTGGTACTCGCTCAGGTGGCGGCGGAACCACTTCTGCACGTCCGCCACGGACCAAAGGTAGACAGGCCGTGGCGGCGCCGAGGCACGAGTCATCTGAAATGAACGCCACGGATCAGAGGTAGACAGGCCGTGGCGGCGCCGAGGCGCGAGTCATCTGAAATGAACGCCACGGACCAGAAGTGGACAGGCCGTGGCGGCGCCGAGGCACGAGTCATCTGAAATGAACGCTACGGATCAGAGGTAGACAGGTCGTGGCGGCGCCGAGGCGCGAGTCATCTGAAATGAACGCCACAGACCAGAGGTAGACAGGCCGTGGGGGTGTCGAGGCTTGAGTCATCTGAAATGAACGCCACAGACCAGAGGTAGACAGGCCGTGGCGGCCCAGAGCCGCGAGTCATCTGAAATGAACGCGACTAATCAACCTGATAATATGTGTCCATGATTGGGGGGCTATCCTGATCTTCAATCCAAGTGCGAGGCAAATTATTCAATTCTGAAAGTCAATCTGATGCAGGCAATGCTAGTATGAAATGCTGTTCAATAGGCCCACATAAAACACTACTTTTGTTTAAGCAATGACTATCAATGAGAGTATTCCACTTGTCTATATGAGTACTTGCACACTACATATCCATCATAGTATTTGTTGTTGACCGACTTCCTCTGCCACTTCTTTTGTCATATTAACTCTAACCTTAACTCCACTAAGCATCCAAGGGTATCAATTCCATCATGACTCAGCACAAATTTAATTTATTCTAACATTGCCTCTAACATCTTTCACAGCTAAGCATGAGTTTGTTCCATAACCATACCATACCATAACCATAGGGGTATGCCATGCTTTTAACTCTAAATTGCATTGGTTCCTAAATTCGAAACTTAATGATAACTCAGCACAATCAAATGATACAAAACTGCCTATCATTTCAACATATCTTTATAAGAGTTGATGAATCAAGTAATACATTTACTCAGCCCCAATAATAAACTTTTTGTATGAACCTGTTCAGGTTCCATGCTCATGATGCATGCCTATCATGCATCATCATGCAATGTTGACTCTAGACCCAATACCATTGCATCATGACTGGAAATCCTTCTTCATATGTCTTCCTGATATACCCAAACCTCATGCTCCATAACCCAAGTACATTATGCTACTGCATGAAGAAATGTTTACATAATGAAAGAAAATGTAAGAGCATAACCTCCCTACTCAAAGGTGATGGATTAATTACAAAAGGCTCATTCTGCCATGACTATGCAGTTCTATCACAATGCTATTTCATATCAATATATATAAAATGATGAGACCACCTTAACCCTGTGCTGTGTATCCACAGCAGAATTATTTCACAAAACCATAAATAAATGCAATCTAATAAGCATTTAGTGAAAATGTCTGTAACACAGGCAGTGGTGCATGAATCCTATATTTTTTTGGTATTAATATGATTTAAGTCATATCTTAGGTTGCCAATTGGTGCCTTCATGGTTGGTATCTTGCTCCCAGGGATGCTATCATTATTTTAAATAGTGGCTAAACTAAGACACTTGTCATCTATCCTTCCATAGGATTTTAATTACACTGAGAAGAGGAAAAAAGAATCAGCTTACCTTTGACTTTGAACAAAGTACATTACTACCAATTTGTATCCAGCCTGAGTCACCCAGACTGTGTATGGCCCTGGAGTTACTTTTGAATTTTACAAGCAAAAAGTGTGGCAAATCAAACAAATGAGAGTGGTTTAAGCATTGCATAATATGCAAACAGCCCAAACATTTATGATGCCTCACCACCCATTAGCCCAGCCAAAGCATGGGCAGTTACTATTGCTCTATTGGCTGGACATCAATGTTCATCTGATGTCATGCTTGACATGCACCATTCAATCACATGTGCATTAACCTAGTGGACTGGAGACATTTTTGATGTTGGACATGTTTATGAACTAGCGAGTGAAAGCAGCTCAGTTGCATTTTATGGAAATGTATCTAACAAATGCTGACGCACTACAATCATCCCCAGCAATCAAAAGTGGGCATCCAGCCTAAACATAGGGTCTAAAACTTGGCTGTTTCTTGGTGCATTAAGCCCCAAGACACTTTGTTCCCACAATGCGCACTTCAAAGAATGCAAAAATTGTTCTCTGTGCACAACAATAGCTAAATGCAAGCTGTTCATGACACTTCTGACAGCATCCAGCGCCACACTCAAAACTAAACCAGGGATACCGCCTGCCAGTTACAGCCACATCTCTCTGCCATATCGCACACAATCTTTCCTTGCAGTGCTCTCAGTGCCCTGGTCAACTGCTGCTCACCAGCACACATATAACCCACCTACCATCCAACAACACCAAAACGCTCAGACACAGGCATGGGGCCCAAGCCCCCACTCAAAACAACAGCACCTCTTCAGGGGCCTGGTAGAAGCACAGAGAACATCCTGTCTGCATATTGACTCAGCATTTCTGGATTGCACTTGGAAATCATTGTAATGCAATACAAATTTATATGAAAGTGTATGATGCCATACTAAGATGTACCTCTAAATATATAGTTAATTAATCATATCTTGATGGAAAAACTTGCTGCAATTCTTCTTAAACAGTACTCTTATTAAAGCTGCATTTGAAACTATCAAAAATGGATATTGTATAGAAGGTATAATGATGATGTCAAACACCATCCCAAGCATGTACTTGGGCACACAAAAAACCATGGCTCTGCAAGTCTCTCTTGAGGGAAGAATTTAGCATGGAAGAGAAGGCATATTCTCCAAGAAATCTGAGCTGAATACATGATGAAAATGCATAAGAGAGGCAATAAACAAGAGCATGAATTTTTTTTACTGATCTTCAGAGCATCACCACAGAATCTGAACCTGAGTTTAAAGCCAAAGCAGGGTTTCTTGCACCCTGTGGGACAGCTCTCTCATCCTTAATTGGGACTGACACCTTTACAATGACATTATCAATATCAGCAACTTTCAACCAGCCACACAGCTTAAAAAATAAATACATGTGAGCATAGACTTAGGAATAAAGCACTTACTTAGGAAGCTAAAAAATCTAAAAATCACAAGCAGCCCATCTCTAGGTGCCTTTGGCAATCACCAAGCCATGCTTGAGCATGGTGTTTACTATCATCTCCAGCCACGGAATGTCCTTCAGTGTAAGCTGTGAGTGCATTGAAAATTCACCTGAGCTGTTTTGTTCTCACTGCAAGCCGTGGTTTTACTATTTTTGTTCTCTCCCCCAACAGCCAAAACCAAATCTCAGATACTGCCTAAACACGTTTTGATAACGATGACGCATTGCCAGCATCGCCACCGTCCAAAACAAAAGGAAATCAACAGACAAAACGAATCCCAACCAACCTTGAATCTTGCCTTCTGCTATACACAACTGAAGACCCTAAAGTAATATATCACAAGGCCCTACATTCATACGCATGATACAAAAATTCAATGCGCACCCGATCTGCGCAAATAAGTCGAATCAAGGAACACTTGTTGCTTCCATATCTAGTTACCATATCCCAATAATGATTCGACACATAAAAACACAAGCTACAAAAATGTTACAGAACAAGGGAACTATAGAATTTGGCCATACCATTCACTTCATTACGCACTAAAGTAGAATTATTTTGAGGTCGATTTATTCAATTTATATTTTAAAACGTTATACGGCAAATACCTAACCGGCAACAGCATACCAGTCCAAGCTTTTCACGTGCTGTTCGCAACGTATCCATGACAACCAGAATGCACACTGGCCTAGCATCGTTCATGGCGCCGATGGCAGTCGCGCGGCTGCGTGTTGGTATTAGCGGTGGGCGTGTTCTTGCCCGGGAGGGATATCGAGGACAGGTGGTAGGTGTGGTGCTTGTGGCCGACTAGTGTGAGTATGTTCTCGTAGTAATTTACTCCCCACTCATCAGCAATTCAGTTGCAGTGCCCAGCCCCCGAACTTTGAGAAATGTGGAACAAATGTGGGGAGTAGGGATAAACCCTTTTTCGGAATGGCGGGGCTGGTTAGTCCTTGTTCCTCGCCCAGTCTCTTTGGAAGGAATTAATGGCTAGCGCTGGTGTCCCCTGCAACGTAAATCTGAAACTTCCATTTAGACTTTGAAGACGCGGGGGTCAGCTGGGCCGTGTTCATTCGCGCCCTTGAAGAGTGGCCGCTGCCGGTGAGGGACTAACGTCGACGAAGCCTGTTGATAGCTCCGTGCTCCGAGGCTATGGCTCCGATTGACACGAAGCCTTCACCATTCAATGCCGCTTGGTCGATAGCCTATCCTTTCCAGAACATGGTAACTTTGGGCCAGGTCAAAGGTCACAAAAACAGAAAAGAGGGTTGCAGACAACCCCGTGCTCTGAGCCTATGGCACCAATCACCATGAACCCTTTACTGATTGATGCACCATAGCCCGTATCCTGTCCCATCCAGCTCGTGATGACCTTGGGTCAGGTCAAAGACCATCAAAAAACAATCGAAACCACAAAAACTGGGTGCAGACAACAGCTCCATGCTCCGAACCTGTAGCACTCATTACCATGAAACCTTCAACAATCTATTTGCCATGGACGCTGTTGACAAAAGTGCAACTCATCCTTTCCTTAAAATGGGAAGTCATTCCTCCGCATCAAAACATCATTTTATAAATTCATTTTCCAACCGAGACGAAAGTGAAAGTGGCCGAAGTGGGGGAGCAACCAGGCTTTGGGGTAGGTTTGGTCAACCTCATCGGCTCAGTTCCCACCCCCAACCGATTTTAGAGAGCGACGCCCCTAAGCGCAGGTATGATGAACCATGTACTGGCGGATCCCTGTTGCCCAGCAGTAGTCAGGGTGCAGGCCACAGCGGGTCCCGGGTTAGCGGTGTGCAGGCTGCGGTCACTGCGTCAGGTGCCGGTAGTGTAGTGGTTAACGCGTCTGCGTTGACCACTGCGCGTCTGGGAAACCAGAGGCATGGGATTCGATTTCCTACGGTCCCCGCCCTTCCTGCCAGGGTGAGAGGTGGGCGACGCCATATAGTCTCAGCAGCTGAGTGCATCGTTAAGTCCCAATGACATGACATGACATGCCTGCGTTCGGCCTGCGCGGCCGGCGCTACGGCCCTGTGCGCTCTGTGCGTGTGTGATCAGTCGGAAGCCATTTTGAAGTCCTGACATCGAGGTAGCCATTTTGCCGCATTTGGTTGAACCTAGATGTGCTGAATTTGCCTTGCCACATGCCAATACAAGTGGCACGTTTTGACAGGCTTCACGAGTCGGCTAGATTTCCGAAGGCCCTGAGTAGTGCCGGATTCGAAATCATTGCTGAGCTCCCATTTTGAAACGAGGCGCCTGAGTCCGGCGGTAGCGATGGGCACCGACGTCGTTCACCTTTTGACGCTTGCTCGCTGGCGTGGCCGGCAACTATTCTCTTGACATTCTGCGACCAAGCTGTCATACCGCAGGTGGCCGTTATTGGTCGGCAGCTGGCAACAAGGCTGAGACGAACATGGAGAAGACACTTGCAATGATAAAACCAAATGCCATGGGGCACGCAGAGGAAATTGAGAAGATCATTCTGAAGGAGGGATTTACCATCATTCAGGTTTGTGTCCCTACGTGATTTACCAATCGACTGTTGTTCATGCTCAGTGGTAAGTTTGTTCGTAAGCAGTATTATATCTGGGTATTTATGGTGCCCAAAGTTATCTGCGCCGGATTGCATGCTCAGAAACAGGAAGCGGGACGCTTATCTGTCACACGATGAGTGCGACTCGTACAGGAGGTCCGGCCGTCACTCCCTTGTCAAGCACTCTTATATTTGTCCGTATAATGAGATTCACTTTGTTGAGGAGGCATGCTCAAAGGAAATTGCGAACCGGTCATCATTTGTCACATGGTGGTCCCAGATATTGCCGGTGTCTATTGCGGCATTCTTACCTGTATTCGCTGCAGTTGTCTGTGATCTGCGCCACGACACGGTAGATGGCGTCTCACTAAGTGTCATCACAGCGTCGTCGCATCCAGCTGTCGAAAGAACAGGCCATGGAGTTCTACTCGGAGCATCGTGACAAACCATTCTTCAGCAACCTGATCAATTTTATGACCTCAGGTACCGAGAGCAGGACATGCTGTGCTGTCTTTACACAGAAGGAAGTGTGAAGTACAAATTAAACTGGCACTCATCACATGATATGGCACGAGACAATGCCGAGTGATTGCTTGCGATTTACGTGCAGTGTTCAGGTAATCGTCTGAGGCTGAGGGTAGGTGACTGTCACACAACTGTTAAAGAAGGTGTCTACTATTTTAGTGATGCGTATTGCTGTATGGCCCCGTTGCTTCCCACTTCTGGCAGCCTTCTGACGTGCGTCGTTGGCGTTCCGTGTCCTGTGTACCCTGTGCGGCAGGTCCGGTGCAGGCGATGGTGCTCGGCAAGGAGCACGCCATCCGGGCCTGGCGCCGCGTTCTTGGGCCCACCCGGGTGGCCGCCGCCATCAAACACCACCCGGACAGCGTCAGGTATTGATGGACGGAGAGACGAGGAACCGTGCGTTCCGCGAAACTTCGTTGATGTGCATCGTGTGGTGGGCAGTGGGATGAATGCACCGACGTACTAACGGACGTACATTGACCTGCCTCGCGACATGCTGACTTCTGTTAATTAGCCAATGCTTGCGGAGAAGGGGCGTGCGTCGATCCCAGACGGGGGTGCCGGGATCTAGGTGGTAGGTGCTGGGCCCCACATACTCCGCCATTCAAGATCTACTTTAAGGCTTTACCTATTGTGACATCCTCGATCTGTCTTGACGTGTATTCAATAATCTCCTGGCAGGAAGAACTCATTTTGTTTGCAGCATTCTCAAGATCCTCATTTTCGTTGACAGTTCTTATAAACTGAATTTGATGTGAAATGAGCTTGGCTGAGCCGTCTCATATCCAAAATTGGGCATCAATGTTAAGAAAGGCTGGCCGGCCGCGCTTCTTCTGACGCGCGTCCGCCCCGGCACCAGCCATCAATGGTCTCCCGCGAGATCCACCGGTGGAGAAGCACGACGGAGAAGTTAGCGTGACAGACCTACCCAAACCGGCATATTAAATCAAAGCGAAACAATAAAATTTCAATATGTGCCATACCTGACGTACTGCATTCACCTGCAGTGCCTAGAGACATGGATAGAGGCTACCATCACATCCAAAACATCATAAGGTCAGGTTCTTTCCAGGTGGTCGGAATGGGCATCTTGCCGTCCGACTTGTAGCATGTTTGTAACGCCGTGGTCTGGGCGAAGCGTCCTCATGGGCAAGAAAATCTGCTCAGATCGTCGAGGATTGGTGGTCTCTGGATCCTAGATTGGCTTATTACTTGTGTCGCGTTGCAACGGGTAGCATTGGGCAACATACGCAACATTGTGTGCAATTTTGCATTTTTAGGATAAAAAGTCCTGTGGGCGCTCTTGTACTTCGCAACAGCAATAACCATAATTCTAGGGATTATCTTGCTTGGTATATCCGTTAGCTGATTGCGCAGCGTTCTGCAAATTTTTGCAACAACTTCTGAAATCCTTCGTTGCGTGCTATTGTGCCATGCGAGAGCAATGGATATACGTTTATTGCCGTGCCCTCTTTTGTTTAACCATAAAATGATTTGCCGCACTATGCAACCATTGGGACAGATTGCCACATCTTTCTTTGGGAGCTCTTGTGCCTCGTAACAACAACGGATAGGGTCTTGGTGTTACATTGCTTCGTTTTTAAGGGAGTGTTCCACGTTTGAAAAATTGAAGCAAATACCAGGTATGATGACATGAGCTCACTTATAGATATTGGTGTATCTTAAAATGGAAAAGACTGCCCTGGACTGCTCTGCTCTGTAGACTGCTCATGTAGCTTGGAAATAAGAGGGGCTTAAGTTTTAGGACGGGCAGGGATGTCAGCTGCACCAAATGATCTTGAGGGTGGCTATCTCAGTTCAAAGTCTCATAGAAATGTGAAGCACTCCACCATGCGCGCCGCTACTGGTGCGAATAAAAGGACGTTTGTGATTAGCCCAACGGGCAAGGGCCTGCCATCGAGAAGTTGGTCGGCTGAAGTTTGAACCAGTACGTCACGTGGGTCATGTGATACTCCGTTTCCCAAAGCCAAAGTGCGCCCCTAAAAGAGCCACGGTGGTAAACGCCGTGGGAGGGAAATCAGAGCATAGCCAAGCATAGCGTTTCGTTTTGTTCGCGGGGTAATGGCTTCAGGTTTGCATATGTTTTCTAGTTAAATAGAACGTTTCAAGCTTTCGTGGCATTTATTACACCACCATGTTAACACTACTGTGCTGCAACCATTACCGAACACACACGTTGCAAAAAGCAAGGCAATGAAATGTAATATTTTCATATTGGTGAGCAGGGAGCCAAGTGAGGCTTCTCCCGCGGGGTCGCCTACTTTGAATCGAAATTCTGAGCTATTCAGGAAGATTTCGAGAAAACTGGTACTAC